AGTGGGCGGGATTCCCCCCCCCCCCCCGCATAGCGATGAATCCGGATAGCAATGTTAATCCTGGAATGGATTAACGTCGCTATGCAGGGCACCACTGTATATTCCCCTAATTTCTGGCAGTATGGGTTGGGACTGATGGGACCTGCCTCCAACAGTGCCTGGAGGACTAGAGAAATGTCACTCCTATCTTAGAGGCAAGCATGGAGGGCCAGTGGTACACAGGACAGGCTGCCTTTTGTAGAGTGCATCTTGATCCCCTGAGTTCATGTTATTGTCTTCCTCCAGCACATCAGCTCAGAATAATCCTCCATTACATGTTCATATCTTTGTTTTCCATTCTTAGTGAGCTGTAGAGTTTCGGAGACTAAGAGAGGGGATTGGTGATCTGCAAAAATAGTTACGTTTTTAAAATACATATTTGTTCATTACCAAATAAGCTGGCTGGATAGCTCAGTGGTTTACGTATATGGCTGTGGAGCCAGAGGTTGGGAGTTCGATTCCCCACTATGCCTCCTGGGAGAAGAGCCAGCCTGTGTAGCCTTGGGTAAGCTGCACAGTCTCAGGAGGCCCAGAAGAAGGAAATGGTAAACCACTTCTGAGTATTCTCTCCCTGGAAAACCCTGGAAAGGGTCACCATAAATTAGAGTTGACTTCATGGCATATGAATTATGATGATGACAATGATGATTAGCAAATAGTCTTAGTTGGACTATTGCGAGATAATAATTAGGAACAATAGCAGGCCACAAACCTATGCCACCTCTGTTACTGTGCAGCTGCCACACCCCCTAGGTGTAGAAAGTTAAATCACCATGTTGTCATGATCTTGTTTGATTTTGTAGCTAAACAGGGTTAGGCCTGGTTAGGCCTTGGCTGAGAACCTACAGTGATGCCTCGCAAAACGAATGCCTCGCCGGACAAAAATCTTGGGTAGCTAAGCAGGCTTAGGCCTGGTTAGTCCTTGGCTGAGAACCTAGAGTGATGCCTCGCAAAACGAATGCCTCGCCGGACAAAAATCTTGCAAGACAAAAGTGTTTTGCAATTGTTGTGGTGACTCTCAAGACGGCTTTTTCTATGGCTGTGCTTCACAAGACAATCCCCCCCGCAAGAGCGATGCCTCGCAAGATGAAAATAATTCGTTCATCTTGCGAGGTTTCCCATAGGGATGCATTGCAATGCATTCCTACGCCCCACCCCCGCAAGAGCGATGCTTCGCAAGATGAAAATTTTGCAATACAACACTACTCGTGGAACAAATTACTTTAGTCTTGCAAGGCACCACTGTACTTGGAAATACGGGAGATGAGCAGGTGGGGCTAAGAAAGAATGTGACCTGAAACTCTGGTGATTTGCTGCTGCCAGTCAGAGTTCACAGTCCTGACCAATGTTGTTTATGAAGGAAGGTTTCTGTGTTATGTCAATAGAATCTCTCTTGTGGGGCAAATAGAACAAAGTGATTCATTTCTTATTTTCTCTAGGACAAAAAGTTTGCATCAGGGAAATACCAGGACGTCTATCTGGAGCTGAACCACATCAAGCAGCGGTCTGAGCGAGAGATTGAGCAGCTGAAGGAGCACCTGCGCTTAGCCATGGCGGCCCTCCAAGAGAAGGAGATGCTACACAACAGTATCGGTAAGTAGCCACTGGGCAGGAGGAGGAGGAGGAGACTGGTGGGAAGCTGGGCTTATTTATTTAAAATATTTTATCCTCCCTTTCTCCTGAAAAAGGACCCACGGTGGCTCACATCATTAAAAGACAATATTTAAAAGCTAAAAACAGTAAGTACACAAATACTAGGGAAGGGTCAAATACAGTACCACACTACAACATGATAAACAAAAACAACACCAAAAATACATTCAAAGCAGTAAGGCACAAAAATTTATTTAACAACTGCACTCACCAGCTAGTCACTGAGGGAAAGCTTGCTAAAGAGAAAAGTCTTATCCTGGTTGCGGAAAGACACTAAAGTTGGGGCCAACCTGGACTCCTGTGGGAGAGACTTCCAAAGTCTGGTAGCAGAAAGAGAGAAGGCCTTCTCCTCATGATCTTAACACTTGAGCAAGCTCATAAAGGGAGATTTCGTCCGTGAGATAGCTTGGATCCAAGCCATTTTGGACTTTATAGTTCAGAACCAACATTTGAATTGTGCCCAGAAATGGATTGGCAGCCAGTGGAGCTTCTGTAACGGGTTATGTAATCCTTGCACTCAGCCCCAATCTGGCAGCTGTGTTTTGGACCTTCTGAAGTTTCCGGACATTTTCCAGAGCCTGACATATAGTGTGAGCATGTTATTGTCCTGCAGCCCTCATTAGCCGTAGACATCACAGCCAATGATGAGGAGCAGAGATGGGCCATGCATTCCCACTTCCCCTCCCCCCCCCGGCCTGGATTCCCCCACTCACCAGATGGAGCGTGCTGCTCTCCCCCTCCTCTTCGGCTGTTCGACCAGTCCCTGGCAGGAGCACAGGTTTGCCTCGCCTGCCTGCCTGTCTGAATGGGTGACCAGCCAAGGAGGTGGGACAGGGAAGCCTATGGTCGTGCTGGAGACTGGTTGAACAGTCAAAAAGAAGGAGGAGAGGAGTGTGCACCAGCTGGTGAGTGGGTCACTGGCCGGGGAGGTGGGAGAAGGGAACCTGTGGTGTTGTGAATACAAACCATCATGAACCTCCGAATCAAGGTTTGTGCCCATCTCTAATGAGAAACCAAGAGAGTTGCACTCAGGTATAGATAGCTATATGTTTTCAGGTTTGTTTGAACAGTCAAAAAGAAGGAGGAGAGGGGTGTGCACCAGCTGGTGAGTGGGTCACTGGCCGGGGAGGTGGGAGAAGGGAACCTGTGGTGTTGTGAATACAAACCATCATGAACCTCCGAATCAAGGTTTGTGCCCATCTCTAATGAGAAACCAAGAGAGTTGCACTCAGGTATAGATAGCTATATGTTTTCAGGTTTGGCATCATGTTGATCAGGAAAAGTCACTGTAAGATGAGATAATGTTTCTGCTGATATTCTTCTACCTTGGCTTTGATGTTGCAAAAGGAATGAGAGAAGTCTTGGTCAATATTAAAATAGGAGGAAGAAATGGAATGTTTAACACATTTTACTAGATCTTCATGGAGGCAATGATCCTTCTAATGCTCAATAACTGTGTAAAATGGGTTATGGGTTTTCATGCTTGCTATTTTCCTGCTTTATTATCCCTCTACTGAATGTACAGCTGGCGGGTCTTTTTTCACACTTGCTACAGTTATATGACCCACTTGGTCTCTGTTCTGCTGCTGTTTATTTTTGTTTTGTTGCCCTTGCAGCTTGATGTTATCTTTGTAAAACTTGTGTTCATTCGAAAAGTTCAACAGTTACATAAAACATTTGATATTTTTAGTAGAAAAAAATTGATTCTTCCTAGTCCCGTAGCAAATGCACAGACCATGGCGCTCTCTAGAGACATCTAAGTATTCTTCTAACCAGCAAACTGAACAGCCTGTACTTGATTATTTTCAGCAGGTGCCTTTGCTTGTCATAGAAGCCATGCGTTGTTGCTTAAACTATGAGTTGCATGGCAGACATCCAAATTATGGCCTCAGTTCAAACAAGCCAGATTTTGTGAGCCAGGAGCACAGTGTGAATTCATATTGTGCTTTTTAGCTGGTTGACAAAACATTGCTTCATAGCAGAAACAGGTGTGCACGTCAGAACAAGCCAGAGTTTGATATGGTTAACACAGATGACTAGTCTAGATTTGTGTGGCCACTGTGAACCAGAGATGGTTAGGCTGGAAGAATTCCAGGCTTCTAGTGATATTTAGATATTTAAATATGTATTTTTTATTGCTGGAAGATGTGAATCTTTTTTTCTTGGCTGCCTATAGGATGGTAGGAAGCCTTTTTCTTCTCGAGGTTTGTACTTCCTTGGGGATAATTTGTCAGAGGTTGCATACCAGAGGTGGTTGAAGACAGGGCCATGGCCAAAATAGATTGACTCCTCCCCTTCTATTTCTTGTCTGTCTCTCCCACTTCCAAGGTGGTGGACTGACAGAAGATAAATTGTGTATTTTTGCAGAAGACTCAATGAAATCAGGCCACTGTTCACAGTGTTTCCCCCTCACCCCCAGCTCCTAAGGGTTATTCATAAGACTTTGAAGCTTTCTGATACACCTCAACTGCAGTCTGTACCAGTACAATATTGCTCTACATCTAAGACAAGTTAAAACCAAAACCTGCTAGAGGGTTACCAAAAGCTATGAGGTATCGGTTGCCATCTGCTAAGCTTTGCATACCTTAGTTCATTTCAGTTGTAAGTCAACTTCCTTAATTCTGATTGTCTGTTTGCTCCTCAGGTTAGCTGTCTTTGTGTCCCTGGCCTTGAAGGACAGCGTTGTATCCTAGCAACCAGCATCCCTCTTCCAGGAAACAGGAACATGACTCTTGTCAGACAATCCATCGCATGCGCCTGCATAACTCAGAGTGTTTGGGGCTGGATCCTACTATTTGCACCTTCTTTCAGATTTTATACACAAAAATATATTTTATATGGTTTGGGGGTGGGTGGGTTTACATTAGGAAATCCTATATTTTGTTTTTAACCAGCAATTGACCAGAGAAGTGAACTAGGTCCTCCTTCCCAGCCTCCCTTTTAGTCCTACTTAATCCCTCTTCCAAATCCTTGAGTATATATCTATAATGAGTATATGGCTACCTTCTTCCCATTCTGCTCAAGCAGACAAATGAAGGCCACGCACACCTCACCTTTATGACTAGTCTACTGGATTGGACAGTGTTGCCTTAGGGTGATCCATGGTTTGAGATGCACCTGGCTGGGAGAAAGTTGCGCTGGCAGTTATGTCAGAAGGACAGGTTTGGTCCACAAATTATGCAGAGGTTTCTGTTCTGTTTGTTTGTTTGATTTCACTAAGGATCTGGGACTAGCCATTCATTTTGATCTACTCAAAAGAAAGGTAGATTTTGCTATGTTGATAAAAAATGTCCATGCATCCTACTGTGAAGTCAGTATCTACTGCATTCCAGAAGCTCATCTTCCATTCGTGTGTTCCTGGTAGGGAGAGACTTCACCACTGATGTCGCCAGAGCCAAAAATGATGAAGGCGGCAGATTTTTCTTTCTTTCTTTCTGCACAATTGTAAACTACCTTAATAAAATCCTCAAGAGACCAAAAAGTGACGTTTATTAGTCGTTTATGAGCACTGTAGTGAATGCATTTTTACAGTAATGTAAAAACATGTTTCTCAGGGATGCAAGAAAGAGATGGTATAGAGTCTGAATGCTGAGCCCTATGAGGAGTGGTTGCAGGTGTTGGGCATGTTTAGCCTAGAGAAGAGACAATTGAGAGGTAAGGTAGGAGAGAGGCATCTTCAAATATTTGAAGAGCTGTCACATGGACAGCTTGTTTTCTGCAGCCCCAGAGTGTAGGATTCACACTAATGGATTTACATGGTTAGAAAGAAGATTTCAACTAAGCATTAGGAAGATCTTCTGGATGATAAGAGCTGTTCAGCAATGAAATGGATTCTTTCGGAAGATGAGTGGTTTCTCCATTGTTGGAAGTTTCCAAACAGGTTGGATGGCCATCTGTCAAATATTATTTCACTCTGGATTTCCTGCTTCCGAAAAAGGTGGTAGTAGATGTCTCCTGGGGTCCCTTCCAACTCTACTATTCTCTAATGTGGATTTCTTAAATAGCAAAAGGTAGGTGGCTGCTGCTCTCACATCGTCATAGGTAGCACCAAGAACTTAACAGAGCTGAGTAAGTGGTCACCTGAGGTTGTCAAGTGGCAGTGAGATGCTGAAGGAGACAGCTGTCTGCCATTTAGCCTATCCTGCTCCTCCTTGTTAATCTGCTACCTTTGAGTAGAATTGAGGATGCTGTCCTGTCACCAGTGTTAAAAGGCAATCTGTCCAGTCAGCTTTCATACATGAAATGGGAAGAAGTGCCTCCTTGCTATTCACTTTGGGCAGCATAATATCTTGAGCAGATATAGGTGTACATTGACAGTTCAAAGCTGCTTCTGTTGTATCTCCTTAAACATTGAATGGCTGCACAGGAAGGATGGGGAGAGATGGTGGATGAGGATCTGTTCAAAGGTCATCAGCTGACTTCCAGTAGATCAGTCTGTGCTTGATTCCTAGCAGTAGCCATAAAAAGCCACTTCTCCCCACATCAGGCTTTTATAACCCCTTAATCTTCAGTAACTAGAATGTAGATTTGTATCTGTTTTTGCAATTTAGTGTAGTGTATGACTCTTGCCATAGTATTGAAGCTGAGGCTCCAATATTTTGGCCATCTCATGAGAAGACTCCCTGGGAAAGACCTGATGTTGGTAAAATGTGAAGGCAAGAGAAGGGGACGACAGAGGATGAGATGGTTGGACAGGGTCATCAGAGCTACCAACATGAGTTTGACCCAATTGTGGGAGGCAGTGGAAGACAGGAGGGCCTGGAGTGCTCTGGTCCATGGGGTCACGAAGAGTCGGACTTTATGACTAAACAGCAACAACATGGCTCTTGCAGCTTTGCAATTTTACATGTTGGACTCTTTCCCAGAATTCCCCTGTCAGCATGGCTCCTGGACATGCTAGCTAATGAACTCTGCAGTCCCCCACATAAATTTTTCTAAGTCCTGGGCTGCAGTAAGCAATTGGTTCCACTTTGAGGTTAGCATTTTTCATCTGCTGTTGGTGGTTGAAGATGGGAAGGAGGGGATCTGAGGCTTGTTTATGGCTCTCCACCAAGGCCACAGTTAAAGTGAGATTTGCGCTGAGGCTTGCTCAGATAACATTTTTAGCATCACTATACCAAAAGTGGGAATGTTGGGCTTCCAGATGTTTGGAACTACAAATTATAGCTTTTTACCATTGTTCATGCTAGATAGAGCTGATAGGCATAGGCTAAAAACATCAGAAAGGCCAATGGTTCTGCATCCACAACCAGCATTCACCTAAGTACATCATAACTCTTTCTGAAAGAGAACTCGGATGGTAAGTACCAATAGAGCCAAAGCAGAACCAGTGACGAATACGAACTGTATTTGTATGCTTGAAAAACCCTGAGATTTGCATGTTTTGGACTCCTTTTCACTCCCATTAGCCACCAGAAGTGATGGTCAGAGAATATGAAAGCTGTAGTCCTAAACAACATAGGGCAACAGATTGTAAATGTCCAGAAGGTAGGCGTTCTGACTGAGCAGCTCAGCAGGAGCACTGCAATCCGGAATGGAGGACACAACACAAAATTAGGTTTTTGCAGTGACTACCTTAAGCTATCATATTGGGCTGAGAACAAGACACTGGATACTCACTTCCTGCAGGGCACTTTTCCTAATGCAAGTGGGTTGAGTCAGTGTAAAAGGGTGGCAAAACCCCTTCTCTTTGTGATAATGACTTTATTAAAATTATGGATTGAAATTAGATTACAAACTTTTCTGTTAAGACCTCTGTTTCCTCCCTGTCACCTTCAGATTTTTCTGTTAAGTGCTGTCAAGTTTCACCTGATTTATGGCAGTTCTAACAGGGCTTTAAAGGAATGTGCAATGTTTAAGTGGTTTTACCAGAGCTACCCTCCAGGACAGGTTTCTCACTGGACCGTCTGAAAGTCACTTAATAGACTTTGAAGCCAAGTAATCAATAAAATGGGACTATTTGAATACAGGACAAATTTTCTGTGAATGTGGTGACATTTAATAAATGCATCATTCATGTGCATGCAATTTACGCCCCAGCATGTGTACTAAAGAAGATCTAGCAAATGGCTGAGATAACACCACTGAAGTAGCCCACTTGTGGCAAAAACAGTTTAGTTACCCTAACATTTTTAATTTGTTTGAATTTTATATTCCATATATGCCAATAATTTGAGATTGTGCAATACTCTGATATGAATAAAGAAAGAAAAACTAGAACCACCCACTGGTGACTTTTTGTGGTACAGTGAGGATTTAAAGCCAGGTCTCTTCCAAAACTTAGTCTGACACTCTAACCAATGCACCAACACTGGCTTTTATTGCAGATACTTCTAGCACTATATGCACACAGGTATACCAAATTACTGTTTTTTGGATAATGAGAAAGTACACTCGCCACTTAAAAGAAAAAAAGGATTCTCTTGACTTGGAGTAAAACACATTTTCCCATCTTCAAATTTCATTAACTAGACTATGTGTGTTGTTACATTACATTTGTTCAAATCCTACTTTTTAAGAGGATATCTACTTAGCACTGAGAATTACTTGGCTGACTATATACCTACCTCCTATCATAAGGGCTAGAAATTTGTTTCTTAAATACTTTTTGTAAAAGAGGGAGTTGATTCTTAACATGCTGAACTTTTGGTGGCTACTAGTGAATTCTTTGTGTTCTGCATATATCCAGTGGTGAAACAAATTGACCTGTTTATTACAGCCATTAGACTAGCTTTCTGGATACATCTGTGTTTAATACACTTATCTGCTTCGTTTTGGATCATGCCATTAATCTTTAGGCAGGAGTACAGTACAACAAAGGTGTCTTCTGTGGCAGCTCCTTCCTGATCCACATCTTCACTTAAAGTGCAGATGAGTTAACAATTAAGCCACACCAAATGCATTATTATTTTATGCAAATTATGTATCACTGTGAGCGCACAGTAGTTTTTACATTTGTTAAATCAGAACTAATTTACAGTGACCCTAACAGGGCTTTCAAGGTAACTGAGATAAAATCCACTCCTTAAATGTTTTACCAGTTCCACACCCCCGTGAGTTTCCATGGCTGGGTAGGAATTTAAACCCAGGTCTCCTAGGCCTAATCCATCACTATATTCACTGCACCATGCTGGGTATCTAGTTTTTATATGAAGAATCCCAAAATTAGTTGATGGTAGCAAGAACTGATAGAATGGCAAAAAACAAAACCCTAGTTTCAAGTTGTAAACTCACTGGTTGGAATCTCATCTCTGCCACTGATTCACTAACTATTTTTGGACAAGTCACTTAGTTTTAATCCCACTCCATATACATATGATAATACTGGACTATTTTATTGGTTTGTTGTACAGATTATAACATTTATTTGTGAAAATGGCCTTGAATTTTATTAGTGATATTAGTAACAAATGTTCTGAAAGAGGAGACGAGTGTTCCTTAAAGACACTCTCCAGTTTTGCCACATAGGGAAATACTTCTTTTTCCAAATTCTAACCTCAGCATCATTTTCAAATTTTAACTTATAACTTCCTTTGGATGTTTTGTCTTTCCTAATATGGATCTACAAGAAGTTATAAATAATTTGTACCCTATTTTTAATATCAGGAATATAGACAAGTAGGAACAGGTACAATGTAACTTAATTGGAAAAAAGCTAGGCCTAAAATGTGCATACTGTACTTCAAGCTGCTTGAAGTATATGCCTTTATTTTAAGAAGAGAATCTAGCCCTTGCTATTATAAATAAGTTTGAAAGCATCAAGTTGAAGGAAAAGGCAGCCAGCATTCCAGATGGACTTAGTCATAGAGAGGTACTTCAAAGGTTTATATTGAACCCAAGGGCTGATCCATGAGATTTGCTTCCCAGGTGGAAATTTTCTGTGCAGAGACTGGCTGCACTGGTAGTTGAATCTTAGATAGCAAGTTGCTATGTACTGACTGACATTGAGAATTATTCCATCGAGCCCAGTTTTATCAACTCTGACCAGCAATAGCTTTCCAAGCTTTCAGGCAAGATTCTTTCCTTGCCTTACCCGGAAATGTAGGGAGTTGAAGATGAGCATTTCTACATATAAAGCAAGCTACTCCCACCACAAAATAGCACCAGGCATTTTCCAGTGGTCTTCCATGCAAGAGGTAATGAGGTCTGACACCACTTAGCTTCCAAAAAATTCAGACACTACATTCAAGGTGCTATGTTCAGTAGGCACAGCTCATAAGAGTGCTGAGGAGGGCAGTTGCCCTATTCTTCCAGCAAAGCATCTCCAGCCAAGGTGGTTGCCCCATGTGTTTAATATTCGGGTCTACCCTGAGGGAATTGCCAGAGCAAGTTAAAGTCGAGACTAGCCCTCTATCACTTAAGCAGTCAGATACCTATGGAAAAGCTACATGAGCAGCACTAGGACAGGTGACATGGGTATTGTCCTCTGGGACCAACCGGACCGGATAGTAGACCCTCTCTTTGCAATTCAAGAAAGGCTTTTCTAGGAGCTACTGATAAATCTGCCTCCCATTATTATTATTTAAAAAAACATATATCCTGGTGCTCATCATTCCTATCTTGTGGGACAGGTTTGACATTTGTATTAGTGAGAGGAGTGGGTATTCAACACGGAGTTTCAAGGAGCAGATTTTTCCTCAAACCCGTCTGCTAAGAGAGATGCCATACTTCCCTATATTATCTCCATGTTAAATTTCTTTTTAAATAGCAAGCTTCTTAACGCAGGCAGCGCAAACTGATTCTATAACAGTACTTAAAACGCATCTTTTCCGAATTTTTATTGCTGGGGACATTCCTGATATACGGTCCAGTTGTTTGTTTGCTTAGTGAGAACAGGAAACATGAGGTTTATGTGGTTTAACTGCAAGCTGAGAAGCACATCCCGCGCCTGCCGCCACAAACCTGAGGAACGAACTGCTCAGGGGGCTTCCACCTGTACGACAAAGGAAGCCCTGCCTCGCCTACAGTCGCCTGACGAGAAAGGGGTTTCCCTCAAACATATCAAGGCGATTGTAAGGAAAATGAGAAAAGCGAGCTCTCAACAACAATAAAAGAAGTGTGCTTAATCCAAGACAAGAGTCTTGACGGGCAGTATAAATTTGTGAGTTAGCGTCGGTGGCAAATTATTACGTGCTTAACGGTTCTATTTGTTTATGTCGCTTTGTTGCTGTTCCCAGCAGGGACACACAAATGACTACATTTCCCACAAGCCACTGCTCGTGCATCCTACGGTGGCTGCTTGCGACAAAGGGCAGATTGTCTCGACGGTGCCCCTCTTTAAGAATTAAACAGCTGACTGATAAGAGGCTCTTCAAAGCAACTATTAACTACTGTCAACAAAGAATGATCAGTACTGGTCTTTATCGCTGGCGTTTGTCACGATCATTCTCAGTTCTTGCACGGAACACAGGATGCAGTCAGTTCAAATCGATTTACTTTCTTCATCTCCCCCCCAATAAAAAAACACAAAATCCCACCTTAAAGTTTCAGTTATTTCAGTTCAACACTCCGACTTTAGGTTTCGGAATAAATATATGCTGCATTCATATATACATAATTTTAACACTCGATTTATACAAATCATTCCTCACACCACACAAGCACACACTTTAAAATACTGGGGTCTGAGGAACTGGGAATTCAGATTTTAAAGCTCTGGTCTGTCTCTCCATCCAGTTACATTCTGATACAGTACTCTTTTTTTGACAGAACAAATGAAAGGTAAAAGGGAGTTTTTTTAAAAAAAGTTTCTCATGAAGTCCTCCTCCACTGCAATATCAAATTAGTCTGTTTTTTAAAAATATTCCACATAACAGAGGAATAAATATTAAACCTAAATGGATCTTATAAATATATTGTACAGGGATTAAAGGGAAAGGTGATTAATAAGTCAAACAAAAACATGAGAGGTGCTCAGAAAGAAAGAAAGAAAAAGGGGAGGGGGAATCCACAACCTGATTTCTTCACAAAACAAGTTGTCGTCGTCCCCCCCCCCCCCAATCTTATCCAGGGGTTGGAGTCTGAACAACTGCAAAAGATGGGTGGACAGGGACCACACCACATCCACCCCTTGTGCTTTGGAACTCATGAAAAGTAACTTGTGGCATTAGTGTGGTGACTTCACTACAGTACATTGTAGCTCGCTTGCTCTCTCGCTGAGTAGACTCAAATTGTATTGCTCTCCCTCCCTCATATTTAAATTTAGTGTCTTATTCTAATCGAGAAGCAATTATCTAATTGTTTTTTTTGGGGGGGTTAAGCAAGACACCGGGGGAACACTTAGACATTTCAAATATATTGACATTCAATGATTCACATTCTATAGCTACAGAACTCCATTTTTGTAAAAGCTAAACACACACTACTCAAACTTCTTCACGGACCTGGCATAGGGGTGTCTTAACCACGGGGAGAGGGGATGATAAAGAGGGCAGAGGTGCCCAAGTGCCTGGATGTGTATTTTGGTTGCTAGTATTCGTGTTGCTAGGATGCCAGCTTGATTTTTATTAATATATTTTTAAAGTGTTCTCGGCGTGTTTTGACTTTCCCTCCCTAAAATTATTCCATATGGCACGCCGCCAAATTCCAGCTTCGCATCTTTAATGTCGCAGCCGCGAAGCTTTTAATTAATATCTTTATTAAGGGGGAGAATCATCGGAGGGGAGATAAGGGGGGGAAAAAAACAACCTCAGTTCTTCCAGCAAGATGGCGATGGCACGTACATTTAATCTCCTAACAACAGTTAAGGACTCCCCCAGGACTGAGAAATTAGTGTCAGTGTGTTTAGGAAAACGACCCTTCTCCCCCCTTATCACCGCCCCCCAGCCCTATTCCCACCCCAGCAACGTAGGTCGAAAAAGTGTTTTTAAGTAATGGGACCGACTCCACCTTGAGAAAGCCACGAAGGAACAAAACAGGCGGTAGTGATCTTCATAGCATTTAAACTGGTACAAAAGCATCGGGGTTCGGGGGGACAGGTGCAGGCCGCCCCCCCCCAGGAGTGGCATCTAAGAAAGTACGGAAAAGAATACCCGGAGCTGTCCGGTGTGTCCCCCTCCCCAAGTCGTCCTTCTCATATAATCATACTGTACTTATTATTTACCACTGTGATCAGCGAATTACTTTTTTGGGGGGGTTGCAAAGAGAGAAGTGGAGTGAGCTCCCCCTTTGCCCCCTTCCTTCACCTTCCTTAACCAAGGTAGAGCAGGACCTCCCGAGCTGATGTCCCCAACCCGAAGCAGGGGGGCGGCCAGGTGCCTCTTGGGGGAGGGGGTGGCTGCAAACTTCCCATCCAACAAAAAGGAAAGTTTTTGCACTGCCGGGGCTTGGCGGAGGGGGTGGCTGGAGGAGGGCGCCAAGGGGACAGGAGACAGGGGTCCCCCAGAGAGCCCCCCACCTTTGGGGGAGTCACTCCTCCCCCCCCTTCCCGGCCAGGTCTAAGCTGAGCTGAGCCTGGCTCGGGGCTCCCTGTGTTAGTTGGGGTCTGCTCCCGAAGCTCCTGCGCGGCTCTTGGGGCTCCGGGAAGGCCGGAATGGGGGTCCCCCGATGGCCTAGGGGTGTCCCTTGGTCCTCGCCTTGCCCCTTGCCCGAGCTCCCCTCGACTGTTTCGCTAGGGGGGAGCAAAGGGGAAATGTCAGTGCGCCCCACTCGCACCCAGCGCCGTTTGGGGCGTCCTGAGGAAGCAGGCGACGGCGTCACGGGGAGCCGGCCGCCCGGCCGAAGAGCTGAAGGACCGGCGTAGCTGACGGCGGTGGTGCGGAGCCGAGGAGCCGCTGGGAGACGCAGGAAAAAGCCGCTTTACTCGGCGGAAGAAACACAGATGTCGGCGGCGCGGCGCCATTCGGGGCCTGAACAGGCAGCCAGCAGCCCTGTCCTCACCGCGGTCCGCATCTGAGCGCTAAATACCCGGATGCGCCGGCTGCTGCCTAGAGAGCCAGACACAGAGCAAGAGGCAGAGGGGAGGACGTAGTAGCAGAGGCTGACAGAAGAGGTGGGCAATTCAGCCCCAGAGAGAGAGGGGGAAACGGGGGAGCCAGCAGGGCTGGGCTTTTGCAAGAAGCCGCTCCAGAGCCTGACAGCGGGTGCCTGCCTGGAGAAGCAGCTTGGGAAGCAGACAGGCCTGAGCCAGAGCTAAGTTTCAGGGGACATTATTTGGGAAGACTGCCCTGAGACCACACCCTGCCTGCCTGCCTGCCAGGAGCAGCTGCCTGGAAGAGACCTGAAGGGGGCGACATCCCACTTGTGCATTTAAAAAAAAAATCTGCAAAGAGACTTTTGTGGGAAAAGTTGGATCTTTATTATCAAGAACATCCTCTGTGATAACAGGACCCTTGGGAACAAGTCTCACGTGCCTTCTGGAAGCCTGACAGCGAACTCAAAGCCAGGAGGCTTAAGACAAGTTTGTGCACCAGAAGGAAAATTGTAAGACAGGATGACTGAGAACTCTGCTGCAGCACCTGCTGCCAAGCCCAAGAGGGCCAAGGCGTCCAAGAAATCGACGGACCACCCCAAGTACTCTGACATGATTGTGGCCGCCATCCAAGCTGAGAAGAGCCGGGCTGGCTCATCCCGTCAGTCTATCCAGAAATACATCAAGAGTCACTACAAGGTGGGGGAGAATGCTGACTCCCAAATCAAGTTGTCCATCAAGAGGTTGGTGACAACAGGTGTCCTCAAGCAGACAAAAGGGGTGGGTGCCTCGGGTTCCTTCCGCCTGGCCAAGGGCGATGAACCCAAGAAAGCACCAGTCAAGAAGGCCAAGAGAGAAGTCAAAAAGGCTACAACACCCAAGAAAGCCGCTAAGCCCAAGAAGGCTGCTGCCAAGTCACCAGCCAAGAAGCCCAAACCTGCGGCAAAGAAAGCCAAAAAGAAGCCAGCAGCTACCCCAAAGAAAGCCAAGAAGCCAAAGACTGTCAAGGCCAAGCCAGTGAAGGCCTCTAAACCTAAAAAGGCAAAAGCATCAAAGCCCAAAGCAAAGTCCAGTGCAAAGAAGACTGCTAAGAAAAAATGAAGTGTGAGCTTGGGACCTACTTTCTTGAACATTCTTCTTGAGCTGTACTCTGTAAATAGATCTTTCCTTTATTCTCTACTCCTTTCTATTGCAGCTTTATAAAAGACTGAACTATTATTCCCATGCAGTAGTTTAAACTAATTACTTCTTTAAAAGGCATCATCAATAGAGAACCTGTTTGTTTGGATTGTTTCAATTGTAATTTTAAATACATTTTATGTGTTCATCTTTGCTTCCCCTCCCCATTAAAGGTATGCAGTACTTCTTTTGTTTTGAGCATGAGGGAAGACTGGAGAGGATTTTACTAAAAGAAGATTTTAGATGAAGAAAGGAACATGCTGTGGGACGCCTTTAGTAGAGGCACCTTAAATTATGTCTTTGAGAAATGTAACCATAGTGGATGCTGTCAGCTACCAACAACTGAATGCTGTAACTTGCTTTTTCTTAAAAGTGCAAATTCAGGTTTTCATGGATAAATTAGCTACCAGTGATCAGTGAATGCATATAGGATTATAAGTTTCTTTATAGTTCTGGTGGGGACTGGATGGGTGGTGGTTGATCAGCTTTCTACTGACTTTGCTATTTCATAGACAAAGTGTGCTGATATTGGGGGCAGGGGTAAGTCAGTGGGAAATTATGCAAATATTTGGACTTAATTGTTCTAAAATTTTTATAGATTGATCATGCTGAAATGGAAATGAGTAAATATTTTGATGACCCTTCTTCCTAAGGCATCTTATCTTCCTTCTGGAGTCTGACCACTATTTTGGTCGTAGGTACTTCTGGGGAAGATATGAACAAAAACCGTCCTTTCTGTGTTGTCCCTCCGTGTGCTTCTCAGTTCTGCAGTGCCTGCCTCCTAATCCACAGCTTTTGTGCTTAGGGTATTGTGTATACAGGACACCCCCCATTCCCTATTAATTATTACTTCCTCATTTGTCCGCTTCTCAACTGGGTGAAGGAAAGAACAAATGTAGAGAGTAATAGACATGTAGCCTATATTGAATCTCTTCAGATAGCTTTATGAACCTATGCCCTATTATTTGCTTAGGTTTGAGGTGGGTGTTTTCCACAGGTGGACTGGAAAGGATAATTTTCAGTACTCCCAACTTTTTTTTTAAAGATATGCTTGTTTAAACGAAGAATTCTCATAGGATTGGTACCTGATTGTCTGTTTTACTTTGTAGGTGTGATTTTGTGTAAGAAAGCTTTAGCTGTCTTTGTAATTTTAGAGTTTAAAAATAAAATCAAAAACAGCATAACATAATAGCCTCATTTTACTGTCTTTTGAAGTACAGCTAGATAAAAGAACAAGAGTTTTTAACATTACAAATCATGTGCATGTCTTCAAAATTAAATTGGAATAAGAGCAATGTGCCTTTCTGTGAAGTTCAGTGAACCCCCCCCCAAAAAAAAGCAACTTAATCGTAGTGAAAACTAATGAAAGGAAGAAAAGCTTATATATTTATACCTAAACTACTGAAACACCCTTGAAGGGAAATTGTGAAAAGGGTGTTTATTTGATAGGTTGAGGAAGGAAAGCTTTCACCAGGGAAAAAAAAATCAACCTGATTAGCTATTGATTAGCCACCAGATGGCAGCATACGTTTGGGAAAAAAAGACAGCATGAAACCATTGTGTGTTTCACAAGAAAAGGAGCAATATCCAAGTTGATGATTCGTTCCTTGCCTAATGCTACAGTCCTATGTAAATTGTGATGCAAGTAACACTATATTATGCCTGACATATATTCTGCAAGACAGGCTTTCAGAATATATGTCAGTGTTTGCAGTATTATAAAAAGATAGGTGTTCATTTATGAACGTAGAATGAACATCCACATAGGACTCATCTACTAGATGTGTGATGTGTGACCTCTTATGTCTGCTTTGTACTAGAATGTACATGACAGACAACTGGTATACAAAACATTACCTGAGCCTAAAGGGATGCTCTTATGTGGCTTTATGATTCGCCATTTCTGTGGCCAAAATTCTGTTGCTTACCACAAGTCAATCACATTAGAGTAGGCCCATTGAATCAATGGTGATTTGTAAGTTAACTCCTCTGTAAGTTCCATTAATTTAAATGGGCCTACTCTGATTGTGTCTTACTTAACATAGTAAGTCACAGTCAGCATACCTATAGAGTATAAATGAAATCAGTGGAATTTACAAGGAGGTTGACTCACTAAACCCCCATTGATTCTACTGTGATTTTACTATGCTGAGCAACAGGATTTTAGCTAGTGTTTGATGGGAATTGTTGGGGACAAGATAAATTTTATGTACCATGGTAATACTGACATGCCTGTGCTGGTTTCCAGTTGTCATTTTCATTGTAAATTGGGGTGGGAGCAGTATTGGGAAATCCCACAATATACAAGGACCACAGTGGTAGATTTGTGACACGGGTACATCTGGTCTCAGAAACAAAATTAATTGAAAGCTATACACATCTTGAGGACGTGGTGGCACTGCGGGCTAAACCGCAGAAGCCTGTACTGCAGGGTCAGAAGGCCAGCAGTCGTAAGATCGAAGGCACGCGATGGAGTGAGCGCCCGTCGCTTGTCCCAGCTCCCGCCAACCTAGCGGTTCGAAAGCATGCAAACGCAAGTAGATAAATAGGGACCGCCTCGGTGGGAAGGTAACAGCGTTCCGTGTCTAAGTCACACTGGCCATGTGACCACGGAAGATTGTCTTCAGACAAAACGCTGGCTCTATGGCTTGGAAACGGATGAGCACCGCCCCCTAGAGTCAAACACGACTGGACAAAAATTGTCAAGGGGAACCTTTACCTTTATACACATCTTGAAGTGATAGGAATTGGAAACATAATCCTCTAGATCAGTGGTCCCCAACCTTTTTGTCTCCACAGACCGGTTTAACATGCAGGGGTGTGTGTGTGGGTGTGTGTGTGTGTGTGTGTGTGTGTGAGGGACCCTCCAGGCAGGGGAGGGGTGTGCATGCATCGGTGCATGGGGGGGGGAGGAAATTTGTCTCCTTGGCCTGGTCCTGGCAAGGCCACAGACCAGGGGTTGGGGACCCCTGCTCTAGATGTTAACCTGTAACTACCATCATTTCCCACTGATGATTAATGGTTAGAACTGATAGGATTTCCAGTGCAACCACATCTGGAAGGTGATATATCCCCCACCCTGCAAATGGTGGATGCAGATGGAAATTTCAGATGGTGCAAAACATTTAGGCAAACCTCACCACAAAGAGATGCATGCATGCAACAAGATATTTGGGATTTTTTTAATCTTAAAAAATGACGTTTCTAGGAATTTAGATACTCCTTTTAGTTAGCAGAGTATAAGGCAGACTACTACAGCAACACAGAAATCACATCTTGTATGATAAAACTACTCTAGAAGCAGTTAAAGTCAGAAGAAAGCAGGGGAAATGGAGTCTCCAGCATGCAGGAGATCTTGTATGCTTGCTGCTTGAGGGGTGATCAGATGAAAAGGGGGGGAGCTATCAACAAAACAATAGGAGCAAAAACATGCAGAAGAGGGGGCAGAGGCTTGCCTCAAGTGCCAGAGTTTGGAAAAGAACTTTACTAATCCAGTTAGAGGTAAAGATTAAAGAACAATCACATTAGGCTGTAACCTCCCTCTCTTAGTGACCGCAGTGTTACTGCATGTGTTGGGGTAAAATTGCTCTTACTTCAACATAAGATGCCACAGGTTCACTGCATCTGGCAAGAAGGGCTGTCCCTGCCTGCAGGATCCCATGTGGTACATACTCAGTTTCACTCTGCATGTGCAATGCAAATAAATCCACATGCCCATGCATAATTTAAATTGAAGTACAGTATACATACATTGTCTTATGATGCAGAATGAGAACATGTCTTTGTAGCTACTGTAGGGGCTGGTGAAGTTAACTGTTAATTGCACATTACAAGTTTATTGTGCATGTAGAACATGAGTATTTCAAGACCAACGTCTCCAAGCAAGAGCAAGACTGGACAAAGCACAAAAATGGTTTGGAAATAAAACATGATTCTAATATCCCCAGTGTTTGTATTTTCTCCTGTTGAAGATGCCCAGCCTCTGCTTATAAAAAAACACAAGCCTGTGCAATAAAAAGACTGAATAAACTAGTAGAAACCATTGCTACCTCACTTCCTTGTGGCATCACTGAGTTAACCAGAAGTATGTAAATTGAGCAGCCAGTGATGCTGAAGGCAGAAAACGTAAACAGATTTTCATTGGGTAGATGATGTGTAGATGATGATAGGATAGGTTTTGATTTCCTTGATTGTGACATACAGCAAGTGCAGATATGAAAGAAAGAAAGCCTTGTTCTAAAGTAGATCTGCTAGCTGGGAAACAAGATGATCAACGAACATTCCATATTTTTACTACTTGTAACAATATACATAGTCCTTCTCCCCACTCCATCCCTTACAAGCAGCAATCCAATCAGAAGGTTCTGATTATTTCCAATATTAACATTTTCTTCACAGTCCTAAGGCTGTATAGTGAAGGAATGCTGGTTGTAATGCATTTTATTATTGTTAGTCTCCTCAAATATAGAGGAAAGATGGATGTACATTTGTTAACAGTACATATAATACCTATATAAATTAATAGGAATGGAAAATTTATTATTACACAACTTTTTATCCTACCTTTGAAGCATATTTCCATGGTAGCTTTCATATGAGTGCACAGATGCAGGTGCATGCACATAGGCACATACACACACAGATCCAGAATAAAATAAAATAGCAATGTTTTAAAACAGCAGCATAGAACTAAATGAAACAAATAATGCACTCCTATACATACTTACTGTATTTTCAATTGTGTGAATTGTAATGTTGTGAGCTGCTTTAGGTCCCTTGTTGGGAAAAATGCGGCAAAATTAATAAAACTAATAAAACTGATGATGATGATGATGATGATGATGATGATGATGATGATGATGATGATGATGATGATGATATTATTATTATTA